GGAAAACCAGTCCTCTACAACCAAGTGCATTTTTTCCCCTCCCTGAACACTATAGGTACTGTCTCCAACTTACCCATGTTGCGGGCTTCAGCTTCGGATACTGGCCAGCACAGAGTATTTGGTGAACAAAGGAGGAGGATTATTTTCATGTTAAAAACTTTCTTGGGGCTTCAGTACTCCAGATTCTCCTTTGTGGAAAGAGTTGTTCACGTGGCAAAACACAGCACTTGATGAACTAATCTGTTATTTTTTGCTTAGCCGGTTTCTCCAAGCAAGCTTGCTTTTGGTTTGGTTCTTGGCTTCCTGGAGTAGCATATTCTTCTGCAGTGGTCTGGCCACTTGCAGATTCCTTAAATTGAGCACTGTACCCTTATTGCAGAAAGCTGCCACCACTATGCACTGAGCCCTCCTGGGGTGGCCACCTTGCCCTTGGCCGAGCGAAGAGAGGTGCTTCCCCTGATGCACAAATGAGCTGAAAACCTGCCCGGGAAGGCTGTGGTTAAAGCTTGATCTCTTTGCAAGGCCTACAGGAAAGAGCAAGTACATCATTTGTTCTCATTTAGCTTCGATGAAATAGGATGGGAGTAGCTGAATGAAGCAGAGGTTGCCAGGTCATTCATCACTGCCCATTGGGCATGACAGGGGCGATAGAAAAGAATCAGATAAAAACTACTTTACCTGGAGCCCAGGTGCAGCTGCGCTTGGTGAGAAATTAACCCTTTTGCCTGAGAAGAGCAAGGTTTTCCCCTGGTTCGACCGCTTTTTGCACCTTACCCTTGGGGTCATTTCAGGAGTCCGTCCCCCATGTGAAAGCTCCAGCCTTCCTCGCCACCACTTTGAAAGATGCAGTCTGTGTTCACACATTGTACTAAGCCATCTGAAGGTTTGTTTGGGTCCAAGCATCACAATGAGTCAAAATTAATCAGTTTGGGTTTATCAAAAAGAAATCATTTAAGCTGTGGTTTAAACAAACCAAAACCAAGTGTAAACTAATCATTGACAAACTTATGAGTGGGGAACTCATGGCCTTTGTGATAATCCTGAACTACAGCTCCTGGCATTAGCCATGCCTGGTAGGGCTGCTGTAATTATAGTTAGTTCTTCACCCTGGTCTTCAAGGCTATTTAGAAGGATGTTAAGATGTGCAGATTTGGATGAACAGTTGAGAAATTTGAAATGGGTGAATGTGTGTGCTGTGACAGTCATAGTGGTTCGGAACTTGGCTGCCTGGAGCCAAGTTGATGACTTAGTTGATGACTAAGTTGGTTTCAGTGAAGTTCAGTGGTGGATTATACAGTGGATAGTATTATTTTGTAAGTGATTGACTTGAAGAGTGCGAGCATGAGTGTCTCTGCCAGGTTGCTTCCACCTGGAGTTCTTAGTCTGAGTCAGGGAATGTGTAATTGACTGATGATTTGGGGAATTTAAATCATGTGGGTAGATAGATGTATCTCAGTGGTGGTGAGCCAAGGGAGGTATGCCAAGAGGCACCAGGGTGAATTTACATGGAAAGAGAGACCAACAATTTGGTGTTGATCTCCACATCCAGTCCAGTTGCCCCACACTGGGTCCTGTTGGTCAGGCCAGAGGTGATTCAGTGTCAAGCTGCTGATAGAAAATGCCAGTCCATTGTTCAGTAATCAACAAACGTGTGGATCTGGTGGTATTACTGAGACCTTTTTGGAATAAGGGTTGCAACATTGCGGTTTCAAAAATTTGTCTGCGCAGGGTTTGGGTCTTTCAGTGGCCTAGACACCAAGGATAGGGAGGAGTAACGACACTGATCTTTCGAGACACCTTGGCTGGGACCAGGGACACTATTCCTAAGGTAGTGGCATGTGAATGCCTATACAGTATATTACATTTGGGTGTAGGGACAAGCTGGGAATCCTTCTGGTGTACTTGTGCCCTCCCTTGTGCTACTCAGTCTGGTCTTGGGGCTGGTCTTAGAGTCCCCCATCTTTGGCTACTGGGGAACTTCAATGTCCATCCCCTGGGAACCAGGTAGGGAAGAGTTCAGGAGTTCCTGGCCTCCATGGTGATCATGGGCTTATCTCAGGCCTGACTCAGGTAAGCTACCACACAGTTGATTTCACCTTTGCCTCAGAGCAGTTTTGTGATTGGTATGTGGGAGACATTTCTCTTTGCCATGATCAGAATGCTTTCAGATCCAGATAAGATTAACTGTCACCCATATCCTTCATGGGAAGAACAAGTTAATTAAGATGGTCCACCCTAGGTAGCTCATAGACCCAGAGAGAATCTGGTGGGTGCACGGGGAATCCTCCAGTGGTCTTACAGCCAGTGCCATTGAGGGCTTTGTTGCTAACAGGCAATGGAGGCAATAGGCAACATGGCACTTGACATGGCTGCTCCCAAGCAGCCTCTGTTGGCCAATCCAATAAAGTCACTCAGATTTGCCAGTCTCATGACTCCTCGTGAGTGGAATCAGAGACTGGATCTGCATCTTACCAGGTTATCTGGGATTTGTTTTGGTCTGTGGAAACTGAAGAACTGAATAGAGTACTCTCTGGTATGTCCTCAGCCATGCTTCTCCTGGCCATTAAGTGGAGGGGGGGAAGACAACAAGCTGAATCTTGGAGGTTGTCAATGCCTCACTATGGAAGAGGGTAGTTACTCCCACCTTGAAAGAGATAATGGTATCCTTTCCTGAACAGATCGTTCCTGGAACCAGCTGTTCATGACAACTATTGTCTAGTCTCTAGCCTCCTTTTGTAGAGAACATGGGGAATCACCTTCAAGGTCAGGAGTAAATGCTGCTACCAAGGTAACAATCAGACAAGCGCTGCTTGATCCCATTCCAAGTAACTAATTTGAGTAAACTTCTCAGACAGGCCCCTCCCTAACTCACACAGAGATAAAGTGAGTGAAGGGGGAAGCACATTCAGACTTACAAGATTCTGTTACTATAGCTGTTCCAGTAAAAGTAGTTCTAGACCTATATGGCATTTTTTTCTTAGTCTGGTCTACCTTATAGAGCTGACATTTTTTTAGGGAAGGTGCACCCTAGAGGAAGCAGCTTATCTGGATTGTTTTCAGTCATGGTTCAGGCCTACTCATGTTAGATCTCTCAACAGCCTTTGATATCATTAACCATGGTATCCTCCTGGACTGTTTGTGGGAGTTGGGGATTGGAAACACAGTTCTGCAGTGATTCCACACCTTCTTTAGTGGATAGTTCTAGTTGGTGGGTGGAGGCATTGATGTCGGCTGAAGATCTGCCTCCCTGTGGGTGTTTGCAGGGCTGAGTTTTGTACCTCCTTACTTGACCTCTCCCAGCAGCTTCAGGTAAATGTTAACAGCCATTTCAGGCTATGGCATAGTCAATGTGCTGATGATACCCAATTGTACATCACTACCCAGCCACATAGGAGATGCCATCATCTTGTCTGAGCACTTGAAGGTTGGACGGGACAAATTGAATTATAGCTAGATGAAGTTGCCATTTGTTGAATGTGGCTTCTTGATGGGGTGGCACTACCCATGAGGAACCAGATCTATAACTTGAAGATCCTCCTGGATTTACAGCTAGGGCTGGATGGGCAGGTGGAGGCCATTGCCCAGCTTTGGCTGGTGGATGACTGGCAGCCCTACTTGAGGTAGGACTTTGCAATAACAATATGCCCTTGTCACTATGCAATTGGACTACAGGTAGTCCTTGCTTACCAACTGCCTCATTTAGCAACTGTTTGAAGGTAAGATAGTGCTGAAAAAATAACTTTACAACCAATGCCCACATTTACAACCTTTGCAACATCCCTCAGTCATGTGATCGCCATTATAGTCAGTGCACGTTGTCCTGTGCCTGACCTGTTTTCTTTTTTTCCCCCCTTGCAGAGCTGAGAGATTGTAGGGGAAGGGATTACAAGAGAGTAAGCAGGCACACAATGGAGAATACACTGGGCTGTTTACACAGCGCTCTTGGGGCTGCTGGCACCAGCGCATTGCTTTTGATGTGTTTCCCATTGTGTGCCTGCTTACTCTCTTGTAATCCTTTCTTCTCCAATGAATGTAAATACAACATTAATTCCCTTCCTGCTAATTATCTCAGTACCAGAGTGAGCATTCCGAAGGGCAGGGGAGTGGAGAAAAGAAAAACACAGTTGCAGTCATGTGATTTCCCATTTAGCAACCACTTCACTTAACAACAGAGCTGCCGATCCCAACTGTGGTTGCTAAACGAGGACTAGCTGTACTGCAATTCACTCAATATGAGGCTGTCTTTGAAGACCACTTAGAAGTTTCATTTAATCTGGAGCCCAGCAGCCCAATTGTTGAGTGCCACTCATCATCACAACCATGTTATACTAGTACTTTAGACCACATTATAGCAGCTTTGAATTCACTTCTTGGAACAATTCAAAGTGGTGATTTTAATTTCTAAAGCCCTATGCAGCTTGCCTCCATCATATCTCTAGGACTGTCTTCTCCATCATAATTGTCCCAACCAGCCCATGTATTCTGGGAGAAACCATTACTGATCCTCCATTAACACGATAAGAGGAGCCAAGCTGAATAGGATTCTTCAGTGGCTGTGCCCACATTATAAATCAGGAGGATATTCCACGTGAAGAGGGCATCCACACTGCTGGCCCTCCAGAAATTCTTAGACTGAACTGTTCCACAGGTAGCTGAGATGATGCCAATGATAATGGTTTTGTATTTCATACTAGTGTATTTTAAAGGATTTATTTTGTTTTTACCATACCCATAGCCCTCAATTTACAGGATAGCATCAGTTCACTCTAGTTATAAATTAAAAAGAAGGAAAAGTGGAGATAAGGAGACTGGCTACTCGCCTAGTATTTTTCTATTTCAGTACAAGTACTGGTCCACAAAAGGTCTAACCCAATTTTTTTACTACCTTCATATGGTAATTAACTGTGATCAAGCCCCCTCCCCCTTACAAAAACAGTAAGAGGTAGAGAGCACTTGTAACAAAATCTGGCAAGGCAAGGCTATTTCACAGGATGGCTTTATTAAAAAGTCTTCTGAACTTGAAACAAATTCCCTGCTTTCTCCCCTTACCCCCATTTTTTTTTTAAAATCAGGGCAATTCTTTTACAGTTAGTTTATTAAAAAAAACTGTTTACATACAATTAATATAACATTAGTGTATCATCTGTTGCAGCAACATCTTGCAGCTCCTTGCAGTTTAAAAAGAGTTGCAGCTTTTGCACCTTTTTCTTCCTTCCCTTTTTGCAGCACTGGGAGGATGTGGGGGGGAGGGGGGGGAGGGGTGTTACATGAGATTTCAGCTTCCTCCCAGCCAGCATCCCAGACTGATGCATTTGGGGTAACAGGGCATCCACATATGCAGATGGATCTATGATACTGTATTGAGAACAGGGCACTTCTGTCCATGTTGACCACCCTACAAAATAGTGGCATGGCCCCATTTTTCAGGAGAATGGAGTCCTTTCTGCTTCTGAAGGTGGGGAAAGACGTGCAGATGCAGAGATGGGTATAAAGTGCTGATTGAAAAAAAAAAAAAAAAGAGCAAAAA